ATAGTAAGCATTAGTTGTGCATTTGCAGACAGCGAATACTTTTTACCGAATTCAGATAACGATGAAACTAATTTGTCGGCAGCATTATTTTCAGAAGAACTGTTTCCATCGAGATCAACAGTGAAGTAGCCATTGGGTGATAAATTCCATTTCACGCGACTGGCTGTTGTTTTCATACGATTGAAGATAATATTCCAATTGGCGGTGTTGTCAGATAAGGATGACATTGTCGATGAAGTTAATGAAGTAGCAGCAGGTGCAGCAGTGTTAATCAATTTTATTTGAGGGCTCGATTCTTTTGCTGTTGCATTCGAGTTCTTTTCTTCTGTCACTTTTGATCTTGAGTCAACAGATGCAGATCTCGAAGCTAGTCTTCGGTGCTTACTGCCGCTGCGTTTTTCTGGTTTAGGTACAGTAGAAGGCTCATGATCCAAAGACATCGCTGAGGTTTTCGAATCCGCTGAAGATCGTCGCTCGTCCATTGGCACGTCTTTCGGTCTTGATTTTCTAGGTAATTTGGCAACTGGATTGGGCAATGCTTCTATAGGTTGAGACCTGACCGGTGGCTTTGCCGTGCCCTTTGGTTTACGTGACGCATCTCTGACAGTGTCGGAGTCTGAAGTAAGTTCCGTAGTTGTGCATGGCTTTTCTACAGTAGATTTTTCTTGAATACCTTGCGAAGTAAGCCATTGTTCGAATTCTGCATCTTGTGAATTGGTGTTTGCTTTCTGCTGTTTCGAAGGTGCTGTGCGCGTGGTCGATGATGATCGTGACGTGTGTGATGTACAGCGTCTTGAAAAGAAATGACGTTTCGCTGCTTCGTATAGCTTATTGGGCGTACTATCTGATGGACGCACTTTTTTATCGAATTTTTTCATAAATAATGGATATTCGTTCGGAAGTTTAGCTTCTATTTCGTAAACTCGATCTAACTTAATCTGCTCGCCGGTTTTTGGTGCATCAACAGCGCGCGCAAATAGTTCAGCCAAATATTTACATTCATCGGATCTTGTATGCTTTTCATGATAGTCAGCACACGCTAAATGCACATCACAGATAATTCCTTGAGATGCCGCGCCAAACGAGTCAACAATATGATCAACGACTATTTGTCGGGTGATATTTGGTATAATCGCTTTCGTTGCTGCTTCATACGACAATGGCTCATCCATATTTCTAATTTTGAATAATTCACCCCAATAAACCTGCAATAGACAACTCATTGATGAAACTAATCGACTTCGAAGATCAGAGTCTCACCCAGTATTGATCACCGTCCAAATCTGATCCTGACATTTCACTTGGATGTGGTCGTGGACCTACTTGCGGAAAAACAATACAATCGCGTATGCATTTTCTCAATTCAGGAAGATCAACAGCGGTCAGTCGTCGAAAATCACCTGGATATAAACAAGGCATTTTAGCAACTAAAACATCGCCTAGAAAAACAAGAAAAGCAATTATATTTTCGTCATACAATCGACTTACCCGTCACAACCACGTAAGTACTCTCATCAGAAGAATCAAAATCTTTGTACTGAATAAAAACCTGCCCATACGTTAGCGTTTTCGTTTCATCAACAACCCCGAACATATATCGTGCTTCATTCAATGGCAAAGGTATATTGTTCTTCAACAAATCATCGGTTGTATTGGAATAACGGAGTTTTCTCGATTCTTCGTGTTTATTTAATTGGTCAAAATTAGTTAACGCTCGATTTTGATACGACGCGAACTTATCATACCGATTACCCAAATCCGACAGTAACATAATCACTTGATTATTCAATTTCAACGGTACTAGAAGAGACCGAAAACAGATATACGAAACAGAAACAATGGAAGCAAACATACATGGTTTGCTATATTCACATATTTCCAAAGTCCAATCGGGTGAATCAAATTTTTCCATAGATGGACGTACTTTAATAAAATACTGATCGAATCTGGACCCCGGCTCGATGGCTAACATGCCTTTGCAACCAGCAATTCGAACTTGATAAGCTGACGGAACATCCTCTCTTCTTCTCAATTGAATATTTAATTTTACTGCAATTAATCCCGCAACACCCCAAGACATTGTGCCAATACCATCAGTGAAACAGTATTTGTTGTCGTTGGTTTTCACGTCTGGAACTCTTGTTGCGACCAACTTTTGATCTGGAGAGAATCTTCTTTCGTCAACGAATTTAAACTCAATCTAAACAGAATGTAATCAAGATTTTCACATGAATTGTTACTAAACGATTTACTCCTGTTCTCCGTGAACTAGAAAAGTAAAGCCCAATTCGTGCAATGTAATTTGCGACGTTTTTGATTGCCGAGAAATCTCCCAATTCTCGCCATCCGTCTTCGATCGTTTTCGTTTCATTGGCAAGAAACCAAAAGGACATTTCCTTCAGTTGGCTTGTTGATGTACCAAACAGACGATAACTCTTGCCAACAACTTGGATACCGTTCAACATCTTGTCTTTCAATCGACTTTTCATGGCTCGACCGAAGCTTCTTAATTTGCTACCATCTTCGTCACGAATGTGGACTAATACAAACATATCGGGACCGCCTAGTGATGCCATACGTATTGCACGATTACCCATGGTCGCTTCCATTCGCTCGTAGAGAATTCGCAATGGTGTGATGAGTATGCAACCAACAGAATAAGGTAATGATTCCACTGGAGAATTCTTTTTTTCTGGACATTTTCCTTTCCAATAAGCAGTAAAATCGGCAAAAACTCTTCCTATATGATAACAATGATTTTCGTTGAGTTTATGTTTCAGATAATAACACAAGTTGTTGAATAATTCAGGATCGAATTGGGAAAATTGCTGATGAAGTTTTTGAGAATATTTGTCACTAAACACGTAACCCATAGAGAAAAGCATGTCCAACGCGTAATGATGTTTATATGACGCAGATGATGTTAAGTGGAACGGGTTATCCGATTTCTTAAAATTCTTACTTTCGAGCGTCACGAAATTGATGGTAAAGTTGTCATGATATTCATCGGTTTCTGCGGTTAATTCCTCGAGAAATGCGTACGTATGCGCAGACTCATTGAACGTTAACAAAATATCCGAACTTTTTCCTAGAATTTTTGTGAAACCATCACTATCGGACGCGCACACTCTAAAACGTATGAAATTGTCAAGCTATTTGTGATGAAAATGATTCTTTGCCTACCTTTCAGTGATATCTTTTCCGTTACTCGTAAATTGTCTTTTCATTGTCACTGCATGTTTTAACATCAAAACAACACTAGGACGTTCTTTGAGATTGACGAGTATAGACTTATGTATCCCTCTCACTGGAATAAACATTTGTCTGGATTTATCCTTCGACATGATCCGTATGGTTTCCGGTTCATGTTGCCATTTCAAAATGCGAAGTTCTTGTATGGAAGGATGATCTTCGCTGTGAATATTGAATGTACTCCATGAATACATCGAACCAAAATGGCAAGAGACGGAATAATCGTTGGTTTTCACTTGATTATCATTATTCATTGAACGACGATTGTGAATATAATGAAACGGATCAGTCTGCATGGAAAACCATATGTGTCGATGCGAGTCCGTTGTTATCGTGACTAATTCATCACGAATTTTATTTGCTTCTTCTCGTGTACATGTAAAATCATACGGCAATGGAGATTGAGAAGCCATTTCTCGTGGTTTGAAGTGAGTTATACCCAGAATCTTCTGAATATTACCTCCGACAAGATACGCAGTGTCACTAGTAAAAACATTTTGAAATGAACAATGAACGGTGGAATCCCAATCGTCGTAATGGTTCACACTAAAACAAATCGATCGCTGTCGAACGCGTGTTTTTATTCAATTGTGTAGAATTTTACCATTTTTCGTGTTTTGGTGGCATGTGGTTTGTGTCGTTGTGTAGAAAAGAAAGCTGGCGTCAAGCTTCACAGTTGGCGAATGCTTGATAGGAAGAAACGGAGGAACGCTATCGTATTATGAAAACGACGTCATTTTTACCCTGTTGCACAATGCACATGCATTGGGGTAATAATAATTTCTTTTCAGAGCGTAGTGAAACTGGGTTTTTTCCTTCTGACTTTCTTTTTCTTTCTGAATTAAATGATTTCAAGTGTATAGTGCAAAACTCGAGATGTTGAATCATGAGTATTTTTTTCAAAAAAGAGTCGTACTGTAGAAACAAGGTTCATATGCAATGAAAACTTTCGTTTGTAACCAACTCAAAGTAGTGTGACTACAATTCAAGTATCTCACAATACACAGAAAGTAGTGTCGAAGAACGAGAAAAGAAGCAAGATTAAATTTATGATATGACTCTCTGTTTAAAGTTATCTTCTCGTATCATACCCTCACCATGCAAAAAGCAACAGAAGTCAAGTGATATTATTTATTTTCGAAGTGATGAAAAGAATAACAACACAGTATAAGAGGATCGTGGACACCAATGATGCAGATTTTTGTTTTGAAATATGAATGTTCAGACCCAAATAGGTCCTGAGGGTGGTGGTGGAGGAGGATAATACACACATCGATAGAATTGACGTTTTTCAACATTTTCCTTCGCATTTTCAGCATTGCGAATCATTCGTTTCACCATTTCACGACGACTTTCCTGTACAGTAGCACCACCAAATACCAAGATAGAAACTAAGAGTATCAATATGAAATATTTCATCGTTGTATCAAAGATCAAACTTGTATAGATTGAGTACGAAATGATTCGTGATATTTATATATACAGTGGATATTTTGAATTCAATTGTGCAGAAAATCACTCTCAAAGTGTCTCGATTAGCTTGCACTTGAATACACTAAATTTATTCAGGAATTACGTATTTTATGTTTACTTCCTTTGATAATGATTGAAATCATTTTTGAGAAACTATGAAGATATTAATTAACTTCCTTTTGATATATGAAATTTTATCGAAATCCTATGATGAAGTTAGACTCCCCTTCGATCATGTTCAATATATTGTGGACAATTTACAAGTTAAGTATCAAATGAACTATGACGATGCAAAAAATAGTATCTCACAATTACAACATTTCTTCACTGGAATAAAATACCAAATTATCGATAACATCATTCACCACCCACAAGGTACAATTCGAAATGCATGGGAAATATATATCATNGAAATTTTATCGAAATCCTATGATGAAGTTAGACTCCCCTTCGATCATGTTCAATATATTGTGGACAATTTACAAGTTAAGTATCAAATGAACTATGACGATGCAAAAAATAGTATCTCACAATTACAACATTTCTTCACTGGAATAAAATACCAAATTATCGATAACATCATTCACCACCCACAAGGTACAATTCGAAATGCATGGGAAATATATATCATTCATACGACAATCTATCATGACTTTTGCCATGCAACATTTGGTAGATATATTCACTATATACCGACGACAGTGGACGATAAAGGTCAACTGTGCGTATACAATAAGCTGAAGAACTTTGGAATAAATAACCTGAATGAGACAGTTTGGTTATTGGCAAGTGAACATCACTCATCGTTGACAACATGGGACAACTATTACAAAGATTCAAAATCTGTGTTGACCTTTAATTTACATGCGAATAGATTTCTCAAAGCCTTTATAGAAAAATACAATCCGCCATCGGATTACTTCAAAGTTTTAGACATAGCTATGGGCCGAGGAAGAAATTCCATTTGGCTGGCACGAAAAGGTTATCAAGTAGTGGGATTTGACGCTTCAATCGAAGGAATTCAAATCGTCAAATATCAAGCAGAACGATTCAATCTAACTAATTTACAATCGTATGTGGCATCAATCGAAGAGTTTTCCTTTGGTTTGGAACAATGGGATCTGGTTGTATGTATGTATTTTCCACTCATAAATCAAACAAGCTATCTGCGAAGAATAGAACAATCACTGAAGAATGAAGGTCTACTGATTGTAGAGGGTTTTCATTGGGATAGTTTAAGTGGTGAACATCGAATACCAACTGGTGTTACTTATAGAACAAATGCAATTCCATCATTATTTCCGAATCTAACAACGATTGTGAACGAAGAACCAGTTGATTACAGTGATTTTGGAAATGAAATGACAAAACTCGTTCGATATGTAGGACAAAAACACCATTTCTCTGTTTCTCGTGTCAATTAATATATGAAGGAAGGAGTATAAAATCATTTAAAGCAAATTTCAAAGTTCAGTTTTTGTTTGGACATTCTCATTGAACATAGCTGCAGCTGTAGAAGTCCAGATGGTTTCATTTAGATCTACAATTCCCAACTCCTTCAGTTTTGTAAACATCGGTATTTGAAATTCCAGAGAGGAAACGATTACTTGTGTTTCTTCAGCTTCACTGGCTCTCGTCCAATAGGGAGAATGATGTAGATAAGAACCAAACGTTGATTGACAAAAGCTAAAGTACATGGGTGTGTTTAAGATATGTGCATGCCATGCTGTATCGATCATCTCGGATGGTTCCCCGGTTAGACCATTCTTAGCAGCTGTATAATAGTTCTCTAACTCAATGATTGTATTTAGTGCATCAGTGTCAGTCATATGCTCTGTAGTTCGTAATCGTTCGTATAAATATTGAACATCACCGTCTGGTATTGTGACAATCTCGAAACAAGTGATCGATGAAGATAGTATAGCTGTTATTAGCCATAGTTCTATACCAATATAGATCATCTTCAAGTGAACTAAATTAATATATAAAGAAAACATCTAAAAGTTATTTAAAATCATGGAATAGTGTTCGTGGATTATACTTTGAATTGAATAAATACGAAGAACAATCTTCATAAGGAGTCAAGTATGCGTTAATAAATGATTCTTAGCATTTATTTTCTGTTCGATTGACTTCGCAAAACAAGTTCATATATTACGCAGTGCAAAGCGTTGCATACATTCTTTTATTTCTATTTGGATAGTGAGTCCTGTATTCGTTATCCTCTTTGAGGACCTGCTGTTGGTCTAAGACGTTCGTTCATATCGAAAGCACACTGATATCTTCAAAATTTCTTTTCCTTACTGACTTTTATTTTTTGAAAAAATAGTTTAGCATTAAAACTACGGATTTACATCGCCACGGCTCACCCAGAAACTGAAAAGTATCACTTTGCAGTCATGTCGAACACCCAAAAGTTCTTCATGGAAAAAAATATTTTTCAATTTCGATAATTCGTTTTTCAATTCGTCAAAGCAACCGTCTTCGTCTCTTTGATAAAAAGTAATGCTCATTCTTGAGAGTCGCGGCAAATTCTTCAGCAAGAATAAACATGGTTCAAACCGTATCATGGAATAAGTTATCTGTTCGAGATTTGGAAAAACTTGACGTATTAAACTCATATCACGACGTTTATTGACACATGCATCCGAACTGCTAGAACGTATACAAAAATTTAATTTCGTTATCATTTCGCTTGCGAGTTGATGAAGTTCTTTGTTTCTTTTCACCAGATTTACGATGCAAAAGAAGGTAGTCAAAGACGATACGTGCGGTGTTTCTCGGAGAATTTTCAATAAAAGTGTTGGCCTTGCCGTTTCGACACATGCCGGAATTTCTAAATGTTTCACGTTCAGTAAATTCACTACCTGTTTCAGAGAAGAAACAAAGTTTTGCTCATCAATTTGATTCTTGATTACAGGCAAGGAACCAAACGCCAATGATGTGACATTAGGAAAATACCAACTATGTGATATCAGCTCTGTGTTAAATATATTTAAGCATTTGACCCTGTTGGATGTCGTTGACTGATTAATTGATTTATTGAAACGACGATTACGCGTGAGCCCAATTAATTTTCTGTAACTTGGCCAAGGCGTTGTAAAAATAGATGATTGCGATTCATATATTAAACACTCGGTATACCATTGATGTTCTACAATCCAAAAATCAGTTTGAAAATCATTGTACTTTCGAGCTATTTCATCTTGATTACTCGAACTGAAGTTAAATCGAAATACAGTTAAATGTGGCAACGAATGAGTAATCAGTTGTTGCCATCGAGAAGCGTCGATTATGTCGGACTCGCCGCTCACCAAAATAGTTAAGCTTCGTAAATTAGTCATACATGAAATGACACTCATCAGATCATTAGTATCGATTGTGCAACCAGACACGGCTAGACGCTCTAGACAATTGACACGACCATGAAGACGGTTGATCTCAGCAGATGAGAGCGGCTCAAATTGTGAACCCCATAAGACATTCAGATACTGTAAGAATGGCATCTGCGGTAGTAGCCGAAATATATCAGTTAAACTGCAAAAATATATAGAGAACTTTGTAAGCGGTACGATATTTTGAGAGAATGATGATATTGGAAATATGTTTTCTCGGCATCTCGGTAGTGCAGAAAGAAGATTAAAAGAAGGCGACTGGGAATTAATTAATCGAAGGCATGTAAGTTTTGTAAGTAGTGGAATTGTCGATGATAATTGTTCCATATTGTTTTCTTTAATATCGATCAGTGTTAACGAACGTAGTCGAGTGAACTCTACCAACGAGAAATAAATGAAAAATGCTTGGATTTGACCATGTGTTTGTTCGTTGGAAAGTTTTATTGAATAGATCTGCTGTTGAATTTCCGTGTAATCTAACATTTTCTCACAAAATCGATCGAAGATTATTTTGTCAATATCTTCAAAATTCAAGCGCAATGGAATAGCTCGAACCAATCGGTAAAAGCGAGGATTGAGTTGTTCAAATGCGTAGAATACATCTGGAGCATTGAGGTATTCGAAACAATCCATTAATACCTCATTAGATAAATCTTCCAACTTCGTGCGAGTTCGTTTATCGCTCATGACTTTAGTTTCCAACTTTATTTTCTTTCGTTTCGTTTATATATATACAAAAAAATGTCCATAGAATACTAATATTCTTATATTATTCTAGCAACCAATGGTATGTCAATAAACGATAGAGTCCGCAAACGAGCACGTCTTGTTTTAATACAAACTGTGTGTTGTTGTTTTCGAACACCATCGTGATATTTTCAAATAATCCAAGACAATCTTCAATGCTTCGATACTGCCAATTCGTTCCAATGCTAACAGTGCATTTCCATTCACATAGCGATTCGGATCAAAGTAAAGTGCATTCTTTACAGCATCAGTTGCTTCATTTGCCTTCGAACCAAGTTTAGCTATTGACAGTGCAGCAGTGAATCTTACATGTGATGCATCTTTCGAATCTTCTTCCTCGTCACTGCGATTACAAACCATTTCAATTAAACATTGAACAACTGAATGGTGATCATATTCTTCATTAGATTGAACATTTCCTAGTGCTTCACAGCAATACAGTTTAACTAACCGTGACTGATTTGTTTTTATCACATGTATTAACATTGGTATTGCTTCCAATGCAACAGATCCCATTTCTGAAAAGATGAATGCAATGCATAATGCTTGATTTTCATTTTGCGCTTCTTTGTCCAGCACGATCTGCAGTTCTTTGATGGCATCCTTACTAAATCGGCAAGCTGTCAGCGCATAAGCTGCTTCGTAACGAACTATTGCTTGGTGATGATACAACTGCTTGATGAGGATGTGATACTGATTGTTCAGAGCAAGGTTGTATGCTGCGTTGAGACGCACCATTCCATCTTTATCATGCAGTTTTGTTTCCCAATTAGACGCTTGTTGATCAGTTGCAGATGCTGATGGCGTGTTTATTCCACCCAGTAGCCAATTCCAAATGTGCTTGACAATTGGCTGTAACAGACCAGCATCGGCTGCATCATACGATGCATTAGATGGATCATGATTCCACGTTGGTTTTGTTGGTTCTTCTAGCCGATTGAACTGAAATTTAAACATGAAACGATTTGTCTCTGCTGTTTGATTGGCTGTTCCTTTGTGCACAATATCATAGTGAATGAGAACGACTGTTCCAGCGGAGCAAACCATACGAATATCATTTTGTGGATTGTTTTCGGATGCTGCGTGATATTTGACAAGATATTGTGTTTGAGGTTTGATCGCAGTTGGACCCATTTCAAGTGTTGTATGTTGAGGATAATACATGGCCATGACATATCGTAGCTGATGATGACAAAGCGGTTTCTGATAAGCAAAATAACTATCTTTGTGCCACTGTTGATCACGAGTGTTAGGTTTAGTTAAGTGAGGATGTCGATGAGGTTGCATAGTATAGTTTGCACCTAATAAACTGATCAGTGCTCCGTGAACAACTGGATCATTGAATACTTGCTGAAGTTGAGGAAGTTTTGGAAGAAGATTGTTGCCTGGATTACCTTCTCTGGCAAAAATGGATGAAATTTCCGTGTAGATTGATGAGTGGAAGTTATCATCGAGAGAACTCGGCCGGAGAACTAGATAACCATCGATTAAAAACTGTTGTACCTGTTTGTCTGTCAATAGCAACGGTGAATTCATTGTTACACGTGTATTTCGATATCGTGAAATGGCAGAGCGATGTCAATTGCACAACTTGTTCTTTCACCATTTTTCTCCACGTGGTGATAAAAAAAGAGTTATCGAATTTCGTAATGTAGGATATGTATCATAATAGATAAACACAAGAATAGGTCATTGAGCTGTGCATTTTATGATGCATTGTTGTATACGTCGATAGTAGTTTGACAGATAAAATAGATGAGGGACTGCGCGTGAATGACTCATCGTAATTGCATAATGTTATCGTAACAAAATACAACCCGTTGTTGACTTGTTTTTTCTAATTATCACGGAATTAATATTCAATTTGGCTGGTAAGATGTCGAAGAGCACGTATTTATTCTAAAAATCAAAAAAGCATGACCAAGTACCGTAACTACATATATGTGTGGTTTGAGATGGCATTTCTTTCCTTCACGTATGTCACTAGTTTGACATAATGTACATCATTAATATGAAATTGAAATGAAATCATTTTCTGCTTCAAACTAATATAGAAGTAATGGGATGCATGTTGAGGATATGCGTGTGTTAAACTACACTAAATACCCAAATCCTCTCTCTTTCTTTATTAACGTATTGTAATTAACTTTAAAAAAAAAAGAAATAATACGCAAACTGCGTATTTTATTGTCTTTCTTTACTCTAAAAACAAATGATAACTACACTAGATAGTTATCATTTTCAAAACACTAAATCGTTTGTAAATTATCTAACTAGTTGTTACACCGAATCCGATTGGAACTCCTTGTATTCCACCTAATTGACCGCCCATAGGCGAACCGCCCATCGACATTCCTCCCATTGGCATACCACCAGCGTGCATACCACCCATCGACATTCCTCCCATTGGCATACCACCCATCGACATACCACCCATGGGCATTCCACCAACAGGCATACCACCCATAGCCATGCCACCCGTAGGCATTCCACCGGCATACATACCACCAGTAGGAAATCTGCCCATAGACATACCACCCATGGGTGTTCTACCAATAATTGAACTGCCTACGGGCATTCCACCAACAGGCATTCCTCCCATAGACATTCCTCCCATGGGCATTCCACCAACAGGCATACCTCCCGTGCCACCATTCATAAACTGTTCATAAGCTCTGCTAAATTCTGGCGCCAACGGAACATAGATGTTCATGGTGGCTTGATTATTGAATCCTCCATGAGAGCCGTATCCAAATCCTGAACCAGCTGCAGGTGCAATGGATCTTGCAAGAGCACCATACTGGGGTCTTGCAGCAGCGCCATATTGGGGTCTGGCGACAGCGCCATATTGGGGTCTCGCGGCAGCGCCATATTGGGGTCTCGCGGCAGCGCCATATTGAGGTGCTGCAGCAGCACTATATTGTGGTCTTCCGATCACTCCACGACTATCATGGTGAACTTTTCTGTGTTTTTGAAATTTATTGACAGCAACTGAAGCCATTTCTTCGTTGTGCGCTTGCTAGTTGACACTTATACAAATAGAAATGATTACTGTATTTGATTTTACCTATGTATACATATAGGGGACAGAGAGAGAGAGAGAGACAGAGAGCAGAAAAAGAGAATCACGCAGGGTCATGCTTTATCATTTATCCGGAACAGCGAACGATGTAATTTTTGGGATACATGTATTGGTTTTATGCGGTTGAGAAATATGTAGAGATACGTAAGCTGTTCGTTTAAATAGATGTTAAAATCGATAAGAAAAATAACAAAATATGACATGAATAGAAATCAACGTGTAATTATTCTTGTGATTAAAAAAATATAAAACTGTATCGTATAATGAAACAGAGAGTGACGAAGCGAGGAAAGGAAAACCAATATATAAAAATGCGTATCATTATTAATATTTTTGAGTGATTTGTACCGACTAGAAAGATATCAAAATGCACACGTGTAGCCTGAGCTCTGACAGACGATTATTTTATTTGACAGTTAATTTATGTTTTCGACCGTATAAGCACAAATGTCGATAGTCTAAGAAAAAAGAAGATCGAAGCTCATTAATTTTGTATTATGATCAGAAGTGATAATCGATATCAATCTCGTGGGCATAGACATCGTTACACATAAAAGTCCGTATATACATAAAGTTAACTCTTAATCACATTCTGTCGAGTTAGATAGATAAGAAAATGTTCTCACTGGTAACCATACTAAATAAATCGACGAGATATCGAAAATATAAAGAAAATTTAGAATATTGTGTAGTACGATTTGAAAGAAAACAGCGAGTAGCACAATCATTTGCTTTACTATTATGGACTTTGGTTACGCGCACGATTTTCATACAAATCTAGTTGACGCGAAGCAGAATTCAGCATTTTGTTTAATAGTGTTTCGGTTTTTTTTCAGTCATTGTAGAAACTGCTGGTATTCATCACATTCTCGTTTGTCATCAACTTTGCCAAGTTCGAGAGTCATCCAATGTTGACAAAATGCAAATTGTTTCTGATGCATCAGCCGATGACCCATGCTAGGATAATAATTCTAACATTGAATTTGTAGTTTTGACATCAAATTGTTCTTTATAGGAATGAAACTTCGTTTCTACCGCTAATCTTCAACGTTTTGTTAGAACTGACTCCCGACAAAGGATATCAAGTAATTGCGCTTCCACAATTGAATACTTGATTTTGGAAGCGTGTTATAATTTAACGAATGTTGCCTTTGATTGTTGACAACACGATTGACAGGCCATGTTTGATAACTCTATTTATCTGAAAAAATGTATGTTTTCAAAATCAATCTGTGCATTTAATAAACGCGATAATATATCATTGACATTTATTTAGTTTCATATTAATTTATGAATCTGCTCGAGAGAATGTGGTAGTTTATTTTCCTTGATCTTACTTTCTGGAGTCCGACAATGTCGTGGCCTTCAACGTGTTATAGTAGCAGTGATACTATTCTTCTGGTCAAAGATTCAATGAGAAAAGATATACTTGATAAAAATTTTAATCGACTTGCTGATGTGTCTATCGATTATGCATGGATGTGTTATCTGGTTTTGACGTTTTTCCATCGTTTTCTTCGAGTACAATTTACTTCGAGTATTCGCCCTTCAGCTCAATTATTCGCTAGAGAACCTAGTTTGATGGCTACAACGTCGATTAATTATACTTTTTCTAATTATATTCAAACTCAATTAGTTTATGCATGCGACATGATTGAACTGGGAAAATATTCTTTGTGTAATGTCGACATTTATTATCATCTGCTATCCGGTGAGTTGTTTTGGTTATTCGATCAGAACTATACTCAACTAGGACAAGTTTTGAAGCCAATGCTATACGAAGACAAAGGTGGTACCAATCAATATCCCACATGTTTCGTTCAGCACGAAACTGATGCGATCGCTTGTAGGGAAAGAGTTTGCTTCGGTCGTCAAATTCTAAACGAAACTAGCAATACTCTGTTTAACTGTGGAATACCGGCATCACATTCAATTGATCAAGATAAAGACAACTTGAGGGTGATATTCAATATTCGAACGCAATTATGCTTGCATGACATGCAATACTCTGAAATATTCTATACATGCAACATAGAGAAATGCAATGGGCAAGATACTCTTGATCAAGTATCAAGGATTACTTCTCAGTATTACGACATACGTAATTTACAAGCGCCTTTTTATTTAAACCATACTAAATTTTCATCGACCTACTGTCAAACTTCATCCGGAGTGTCAACTAGTTCAACGACATCAAGCACAACGAGGTAGATATCGAGGAAACGATCAGATAGATCATTTGAAATTGTTTTTGTTTCACAATTCCTGTTTGCTTCTCTTAGTACTACAAAATTACGTACAACGACACGAACAAGCACTACTCGTTCACAATCAGCGACTACAGTTGAAAAACGTCAAACAACTACGTTCGACAAGATTACGACATCGGTGAGCAGCACTATACAACAATCAAGTGTTATGTCTAGCGCCATACCGTCGACAATGCCTATGACGACAATTCAGCCAGCGAAAAACACGGCTATTCCTCTTCGAGAACATCTCATTTTTATTTTCCTTACTTCTTTGCTTCTCTGAAAGTTTAGCGCTAGAGCAGATATATTTAATCAGTTGATAGTCACATGGATTGTTTGTCTCCCTGATCATGACCAATAAGCGGAAAACAGTATCTAATAAAAATAACGCGTCGAAATAGTCGTCACGTGTATATGCATATTCGATTTCTTTTCACTAAAAAGAGGTGTGTGCATCCAAACAGACGTATACAATTAGGTAAGTTGGGCACTATTTCATATTTTATACACAGTCGAACGCCGAATATTTCATAAATAGGTGATGTATTGCTACTTACTTCCTTTTTGAAAGAACAAATCCTCGCTGTAGAATGGATGAAAATGATATTCGTGCACTAAGCGAGTCTCAAGTAACACTTCGAAAGGAAGTTGACGAACTCAAAGTGCTCTGTAAGGTGCTTCAGAGCGAGATTCATTCACTCAAAGATCAGTGTGCAGCATTACGCAGCGAAAATCAACAATTCCGAGAAAATTTTCAGCAAATTGAAAGTCGAGGTGAATGAGTTTTAGTTTCCTTTTTATTTGTATTATATTTGGCTCAATTTAGTCCCGTTACAGAGTATGCTGAGAATATCCGATATAAATGTTGATACAGAATGGGTAGCAAACGGTATTGTTGTAGCTGGAGCAAGCGGACCCGGTAGCGCAATAAATCAGTTGTGGGAACCGTATAGTGTATGCATTGATGATGACGACCAAACTATTTATATTTCTGATTGTAATAACCATCGCGTTATTGCATGGAATTTGGACACACAGATTGGCCACGTAGTTGCTGGCGGAAATGGAAAAGGCATTGGAGCTAATCAACTAAATTCTCCAAGAAATGCCATTCTCGATAAGAAAACTGACAGTATCATAATCTGCGATTATGGGAACAGACGAATCGTACAGTGGCCTCGTCAAAATGGTAAATGTGGGCAAACAATTAAGTCAAACATAGAGTGCTATGGAGGCTTCGCCATAGATGACGATAGATATCTCTATGCCTCTGATTTTCTAAAGAATAACGTTATACGTTGGAAAGAAGGAGAAAGTGAAGAGACAATCGTAGCCGGAGGGAATGGAGACGGCAATGCCTTGAATCAGTTGCATAGTCCTACTTTTATATTCGTCGATCAGAATCGTTCGATTTACGTCTCTGATAAAGATAATGACCGTATTGTCATGTGGCCAGAAGGTGCAAAAGAAGGCATTATTGTCGCTGGCAGTCACGGTAAAGGAAATGATGCAACCCATTTGAAATATCCATATGGAATAGTCGTCGATCGACTTGGTACTGTTTACGTGGCAGATTCGTGGAATAATCGAATAATGCGTTGGAAGAAAGGAGCTCAAGAGGGCAGCGTGATGATCAGTGCAAATGGCAGGGAAGATCAACTAAATCCACTTGATTACCCCATGCACTTAGCGTTTGACCGAGATGGTTCTGTCTACGTTGTTAATCAGAAAAATCATCAAATACTGAAATTTTTAATCGATTCTTCCCATTCATCTTCATAAACATCAATATCTACTCTGAGAAACAGTTATTCAGCATCTTATTCATACGTTACTTTTCCTAATTTTTTCTTCTTCTTTTTCAGTGTATTAAATATTCTATATATGTCTATCCATTGTCGAACAAAGTATTTTAGACGCAACTATATCTTTCCGATTGCCAACACAGTAAAAGCTTTGTTTTGCGTATGTCACTGTTGATCATGATCATTCGAATTAGGCACACGAACTGAAAAAGTATAATTTTCTATCATAGTAACTTCATAATAAATTGTAATACTTTCAATTAAATCAAGAATTAGAAAAGTGTCACCTGTCAGCAAACAATGTGCTTGTAACTGACCTGCAATGAGCAACTGTTGTTTTTAACTACTAAGACGAAGTCTTGACAAATGTTCAAGAAATATTGCCTGTTTCAATCCGTTCTTTCACCGTACTTCAACCACCAAAATGCATAGGAATGTATTTATTGGAACAAGTGTTAAAAAAAAGCATTTCCTTTTTCTTCCGATATTTTTCTATTTTAGTTGTATCTGCGTACATGAAGAAGGAAAACAAGAGGCGCGAGATCCGACTGGCTGATGTTGTAAGTGTGCTGCGTTACAGAAGATTTCACTCTAGTCATTATAACTTAGCAAGATTAATACGGATTAGTTTTTAATTGATAAGCAAGAATAGTTTCTTGAAGCATGTTTGTCTTTGACGTCGACATTGATGATGGAGCAATTTTTTGAAGCATCATCATATTTTCTAGTGCATTTTATTGCGATGAAATGTTCTTAGATGTTAATATATCTATAGAAATTTTACCCAGGATCTTTCTGACTGGAAATATTATTAGCAGTTGAAAAGTTTTATATAAATCTTAGGTCGTTTTTCGAATATTTCATGAGAAATCGTGTCTAATGGTCATACCTGCTGGTACTCGAGCATGGCTGCTGGTAATCCCATTGATTCCATCAATCATAGTGACTATATTCAATCTTTATCATCTATTGAAAGATCAAGCACTGCGCACGGGTGTCAATAATCATTTTATTATCTGTCTATTACTTTGCATACTTATCGAAGAATTGACCGACGTCGTCTGGAATATTTATTTCAATTTTACACAAATGACAATGATAGCCACACCTATGTTTTGTACCATTTGGATATTCACTAGTTCAGTGCTCATTGTCTCAATTTATCTGTTGATGATGTGGGGAGCAGTGGAACGATATATTTTCATATTTCATTCAGCTCAGTTTGCAACAAAAATGAAACGTTTTTACTTTCATTATTTGCCTTTGATCTTATGTTTTCTCTGGCCTCTTCTTTACTACACAGTTCTATTCCTTATCGCATCTTGTACCGTTCAATTCGATTATCGTATCAGACTCTGTAATCGTTATTCGTGTATAACTCGTCTTCATTGGGTATCGTTATGGGATAGTTTCATTCATTTTCTATTGCCGCCATTCGTTGTTGTTAATTTCAGTATAATACTTCTCATTCGTGTGTTCTACCAGCGATATCGTATTCGTCAACAAATAGATTGGAGAAACTACAAAAAATTAGTAGGACAATTATTACCAATCTCGTTTGTTTATGTTGTAATAGGCCTTCCACCAATGAGTCTATACGCTGCTTATGCCATTGGCCTATCACGAAGTATAGCAATAGGCTATTATAGCGATAGTATGTTTTTCGCTTATTGGATTGTATTGTTTACTCCGTTTGCAACGGTTGTGTCACTACCAGATTTGCAGACCAAATGCAAAAATGCGATTCTGTTCTGGCGAAGACGACGTATTGTGTTTCCTGAAATAATGACAATTACTCGGTTACGACATCAACGTCGGACTGCATTACCAGCAGTGTGCTATAAGATAACTTACATCTCGTTTTCGCCTTTTCAAATCAGTTTTGTAAAACTAATATCTATTGACTCTTTTCTTATGTATTATATATAAAGATCTACCAGAAAACTTGTCATTTCATTGCATAATACAGAAATATACGTATCTAATAAAGCCATTGAAACAGAACCTCCTAAAATTATAGTCCATCCAATTCTGTTCATCTTATCAAGCCTTCCTTTGGCATGTTTTGTATCATTGAAATGATGAAACGATTATGGAGTGTACCCGTCTAAATCAATTTTCAGAATAGTGAATGTATCGCTCTTGGTACAGCAATCCGATAGAGTGTGTTTTGCTATGGTATAGCTTTTAATTAGAATGAAAGTGTTCAAGGAAGTATAAGTTCAAGTGAAAATCGAAAAGTTAAACAGGTAGATTAAATACTACGTAATCTGTTCAAATAGCTATTGCTCGAACATCAATTCGACAATCAAAGAATCTCTTCTTTGATGAAGGTATAAAAGTGATTTTAAATAGAAAACAATTGTAAAAGAAGTATTAAATAGAGCTCAATAAAATCGACGAACATTAATCACAATTGCACATCGTTTATAAACAATACAAAATACTGATGTTTTATGTGTATTACATACAGGAAATAGTGTTGAAAAAGGTACATATAAAGAATTACTCGCAATAAATGGATGTTATCAAGGACTAGATCATTAGAAATTAAAATGAATCTATGTAATAATAATAGGATAATCATCCGTTGAAATAGAATCAAAACCACCACCCTTAAAAATAGGGAACATCTTTGCTAGTGGACCATTTTTAATCCGTATTATTGTTAATATTTGTCTTGTTTGAAAATTTTTACTATTAAAATACAATTGCTCAGGTATCCATTTAAAACAAGTTTTACATTGTGTAGCTTTCCATCGAATTCGAACAGTATCATTTCCATTAATTCGATGTGGAGGAGCAGTAAGAGAAATATGAATTTCTGAACTTCGATTAAAATATATTGTAACTGCTTCGGGATTATATATAATTCCAAGGTTCGCATCTTGGCATACAGCAGACCAATTTTTTGGTATTAAACCAAAATATTTCTCGTCTGGTTTTCCTATTGATATTATTTTATAATTTGTTATTTCTTGAATAACTTGCATTCCATGACGAACAACTGCAGTAGATCGAAGTGGAATTTCTGTATTCTTTTTAAAATAAATTTCTTCACATGGTAAAATTTCTTTATCTTCCAGCATACATGTTTCATTTGAATACCAGTAATCTTCATCTATAGACGAAGCATTCTTCGAATGTATCATTCCAGAATTGAAGTTTATATAATTTTTTATTTCAAATGAACTTTCATTAACCCACCAATGCACTGGAAAATCATTAAAATTTTGTTCACCGTATTTCCAATATGTTCCATATTGACAACCAAGTGATGGAGGAGTTTGTAATAATAATTGAACGTAATATTTTGATTGTGGTGAATCGGGAACTGCATATGGAAAATGTTGCATTACAAAAGATGTATGCTGTTCTGTTGAANCAACGATTGTGAACGAAGAACCAGTTGATTACAGTGATTTTGGAAATGAAATGACAAAACTCGTTCGATATGTAGGACAAAAACACCATTTCTCTGTTTCGCGTGTTAATTAATATATGAAGGAAGGAGTATAAAATCATTTAAAGCAAATTTCAAAGTTCAGTTTTTGTTTGGACAGCCTCATTGAATATAACTGCAGCTGTAGAAGTCCAGATGGTTTCATTTAGATCTACAATTCCCAACTCCTTCAGTTTTGTAAACATCGGTATTTGAAATTCCAGAGAGGAAACGATTACTTGTGTTTCTTCAGCCTCACTGGCTCTCATCCAATAGGGAGAATGATGTAGATAAGAACCAAATGTTGATTGACAAAAGCTAAAGTACATGGGTGTGTTTAAGATATGTGCATGCCATGCTGTATCAATAATTTCGGATGGTTCACCGGTTAGACCATTCTTAGCAGCTGTATAATAGTTCTCTAACTCAATGATTGTATTTAGTGCATCAGTGTCAGTCATATGCTCTGTAGTTCGTAATCGTTCGTATAAATATTGAATATCACCGTCTGGTATTGTGACAATCTCGAAACAAGTGATCGATGAAGATAGTATAATTGTTATTAGCCATAGTTCTATACCAATATAGACCATCTTCAAGTGAACTGAATTAATATATAAAGAAAACATTTAAAATTTATTTAAGATCATGGAATAGTGTTCGTGGATTATACTTTGAATTGAATAAATACGAAGAAAAATCTTCATAAGGAGTCAAGTATGCGTTAATAAATGAATCTTAGCATTTAGTGTCTGTTCGACTGACTTCGAAAAACAAGTTCATATATTACGCAGTGCAAAGCGTTGCATACATTCTTTTATTTCTATTTGGATAGTGATTCCTGTGTTCGTTATCCTCTTTGAAGTCTTGCTTTTGATCTAACACGTTCGTTCATATCGAAAGTACACTGATATCTTCACAATTTCTTTTCCTTACTGTCTTTTATTTGAAGAAAATAGTTTAGCATTAAAACTACGGATTTACATCGCCACGGCTCACCCAGAAACTGAACTGTATCACTTTGTAGTCATGTCGAACACCCAAGAGTTCTTCGTAGAAAAAAATATTTTTCAATTTCGATAATTTGTTTTTCAATTCGTCAAAGCAGCCGTCTTCGTCTCTTTGATAAAAAGTAATGCTCATTCTTGAGAGTCGCGGCAAATTCTTCAGCAAGAATAAACATGGTTCAAACCGTATCATGGAATAAGTTATCTGCTCGAGATTTGGAAAGACTTGATGTATTAAACTCATATCACGGCGTTTATTGACGCACGCATCCGAACTGCTAGAACGTATACAAAAATTTAATTTCGTTATCATTTCGCTTGCGAGTTGATGAAGTTCTTTGTTTCTTTTCACCAGATTTACGATGCAAGAGAGGGTAGTCAAAGACGATACATGCGGTGTTTCTTGGAGAATTTTCAATAAAAGTGTTGGCCTTGTCGTTTCGACACATGCCGGAATTTCTAAATGTTTCACATTCAGTAAATTCACTACCTGTTTCAGAGAAGAAACAAAGTTTTGCTCATCAATTTGATTCTTGATTACAGGCAAGGAATCAAACGCCAATGATGTGACATTAGGACAATAAGAACTGTGTGATGTTATCAGCTCTGTGTTAAATATATTTAAGCGTTTGACTCTATCAGATGTCGTTGACTGATTAATTGATTTATTGAAACGACGATTATGTGTGAGCCCAATTAGTTTTCTGTCACTTGGCCAAGGCGTTGTAAAAATAGATGATTGCGGTCCATATATTAAACACTCGGTATACCATTGATGTTCTACAATCCAAAAATCAGTTTGAAAATCATTGTACTTTCGAGCTATTTCATCTTGATTACTTGAACTAAAGTTAAATCGAAATACAGTCAAATGTGGCAACGAATGAGTAATCAGCTGTTGCCATCGAGAAGCGTCGATTATGTCGGAATTTTCGTCCACCAAAATAGTTAAGCTTCGTAAATTAGTCATACATGAAATGACACTCATCAGATTATCAGTATCGATTGAGTAACCAGACACGGCTAGACGCTCTAGACAATTGACACGACCATGAAGACGGTTGATTTCGGCAGAGGAGATCGACTCAAATTGTGAACCGCATAAAACATTCAGATACCGTAAGAATGGCATCTGCGGCAGTAGTCGAAATATATCAGTTAAACTGCAAAAATATATAGAGAACTTTGTAAGCGGTACGATATTTTGAGAGAATGATGATATTGGAAATATGTTTTCTTGGCATCTCGGTAGTACAGAAAGAAGATTAAAAGAAGACGAATGGGAATTAATTAATCGAAGGCGTGTAAGTTTTGTAAGTAGTGGAATTGTCGATGATAATTGTTCCATATTGTTTTCTTTAATTTCAATCAGTGTTAACGAACGCAGTCGAGTGAACTCTACTAACGAGAAATAAGTGAAAAATGCTTGAATTTGACCATGTGTTTGTTCGTTGGAAAGTTTTATTGAATAGATCTGCTGTTGAATTTCCGTGTAATCTAACATTTTCTCACAAAATCGATCGAAGATTATTTTGTCAATATCTTCAAAATTCAAGCGCAATGGAATAGCTCGAACCAATCGGTAAAATCGAGGATTGAGTTGTTCAAATGCGTAGAATACATCTGGAGCATTGAGGTATTCGAAACAATCCATTAATACCTCATTAGATAAATGTTCGAACTTCGTGCGAGTTCGTTTATCGCTCATGGCTTTAGTTTCCAACTTTATTTTCTTTCAATTCGTTTTTATATACAAAAAAAATGTCCATAGAATGCTGATATTCTTATATTATTCTAGCAACCAATGGCATGTCAATAAACGATAGAGTCCGCAAGCGAGCACGTCTTGTTTTAATACAAACTGTCCGTTGTTGTTTTCGAACACCATCGTGATATTTTCAAATAATCTAAGACAATCTTCAATGCTTCGTTACTGCCAATTCGTTCCAATGCTAACAGTGCATTTCCATTCACATAGCGATTCGGATCAAAGTGAAGTGCATTCTTTAGAGCATTAGTTGCTTCATTTGCCTTCGAACCAAGTTTAGCTAATGACAGTGCAGCAGTGAATCTTACATGTGATGCATCTTTTGAATCTTCTTCTTCACTGCGATTACTAACCATCTCAATTAAGCATCGAACAACTGAATGGTGATCATATTCTTCATTAGATTGAATATTTCCCAGTGCTTCACAGCAATACAGTTTAACTAACTGTGATTGACTTGTTTTCATCACATGTATTAACATTGGTATTGCTTCCAATGCAACAGATCCCATTTCTGAAAAGATGAATGCAACGCACAATGCTTGATTTTCATTTTGCGCTTCTTTGTCCAGCATGATCTGCAGTTCTTTAATGGCATCCTTACTAAATCGGCAAGCTGTCAGTGCATAAGCTGCTTCGTAACGAACTATTGCTTCGTGATGATGCAACTGTTTGATGAGGGTACGATACTGATTGTTCAGAGCAAGATTGTATGCTGCGTTGAGACGCACCATTCCATCTTTATCATGCAGTTTTGTTTCCCATTTAGACGTTTGTTGATCAGTTCTAGATGCTGATGGCGTGTTTGTTCCACCCAATAGCCAATTCCAAATGTGCTTGACAATTGGCTGTAACAGACCAGCATCGGCTGCATCATACGATGCATTAGATGGATCATGATTCCACGTTGGTTTTGTTGGTTCGTCTAGCCGATTGAACTGAAATTTAAACATGAAACGATTTGTATGTGCTGTTTGATTGGCTGTTCCTTTGTGTACAATATCATAATGAATGAGAACGACTGTTCCAGCGGAGCAAACCATACGAACATCGTTTTGTGGATTGTTTTCGGATGCTTCGTGATGTTTGACAAGATATTGTGTTTGAGGTTTGATAGCAGTTGGGCCCGTTTCAAGTGTTGTATGTTGGGGATAATACATGGCCATGACATATCGTAGCTGGTGATGACGAAGCGGTTTCTGATAACCAAAATAACTATCTTTGTGCCACTGTTGATCGCGAGTGTTAGGTTTAGTTAAGTGAGGATGTCGATGAGGTTGCATAGTATAATTTGCACCTAATAAACTGATCAATGCTCCGTGAACAAGTGGATCATTGAATACTTGCTGAAGTTGAGGAAGTTTTGGAAGAAGATTGTTGCCTGGATTACCTCCTCTGGCAAAAATGGATGAAATTTCCGCGTAGATTGATGAGTGGAAGTTATCATCGAGAGACATTGGCTGGAGAACTAAATATCCATCGATTAAAAACTGTTGTAGCTGTTTGTCTGTCAATAACAACGGTGAATTCATTGTTGCGCTTGTATTACGATATTGTGAAATGGTGGAGCAATGACAACTGCGCAACTTGTTCTTTCACCATTTTCTACACGTGGCGATAAAAAAAAATTTATCGAATTTTCGTAATGTAAGACATGTGTCATGATAGATAAACACAAGAATAGGCCATTGAACTGTGCATTTTACGATGCAGTGTTGTACTCGTCGATATAGTAGTTTGACAGATAAAATAGATGAGGAACACAGTGTAAATGACTCATCGTAATTGCATGATGTTATCGTAACAAAATACGGCCAACCGTTGACTTGTTCTTTTTTTTCTAATTATCACGGAGTTAATATTCAAATTAGCTGGTAAGATGTCGAAGAACACATACTTATTCCAAAAATCAAAAAGCATGACCAAGTACCGTAACCACATATATGTGTGGTTTGAGGTGGCATTTCTTTCCTCTACGCATATGTCGCTAGTTTGACATAATGTGCATCATTAATATCAAATTGAAATGAAATCATTTTCTGCTTGCAACTAATATAGAAGTAATGGAATCCATGTTGAGGATATGCGTGTGTTAAACTACACTAAATACCCATATCCTCTCTCTTTCTTTATTAACGTATTGTAATTAACTTTAAAAAAAAAGAAATAATACGCAGACTGCGCATTTTAGTGTCTTTCTTTATTCTAAAAACAAATGATAACTATACTGGATAGTTATCATTTTCAAAACAGGAAATTGTTTGTAAATTATCTAACTAGTTGTTACACCGAATCCGATTGGGACTCCTTGTATTCCACCTAATTGACCACCCATAGGCGAACCACCCATCGACATTCCTCCCATTGGCATACCACCCATAGACATGCCACCCATAGGCATTCCACCGGCAGGTATACCACCCATAGCCATGCCACCCATAGGCATTCCACCGGTATACATACCACCAGCAGGAAATCTGCCCATAGGTATTCCACCGGCAGACATACCACCGCTAGGAAATCTTCCCATAGACATACCACCCATGGGCATTCTACCAATAATTGAGCTGCCTACGGGCGTTCCACCAACAGGCATTCCTCCCATAGACATTCCTCCCATGGGCATTCCACCAACAGGGATACCTCCCGTACCACCATTCATAAACTGTTCATAAGCTCTGCTAAATTCTGGCGCCAACGGAACATAGATGTTCATGGTGGCTTGATTATCGAATCCTCTATGAGAGCCGTATCCAAATCCTGAACCAGCTGCAGGCGCAATAGATCTTGCAAGAGCACCATACTGGGATCTTGCAGCGGCGCCATATTGAGGTCTTGCTACAGCGCCGTATTGAGGTCTTGCTGCAGCGCCATATTGAGGTGCTGCAACAGCACCATATTGAGGTCTTGCTACAGCGCCATATTGAGGTGCTGCAGCGCCATATTGTGGCCTTGCGATCACTCCACGACTATCATGGTGAAGTTTTCTGTGTTTTTGAAATTTATTGACAGCAACTGAAGCCATTTCTTCGTTGTGCGATTGCTAGTTGACACTTATACAAATAGAAATGATTACTGTATTTGATTTTACCTATGTATACATATAGGAGGCAGAGACAGAAAGAGAGAGAGAGCAGAAAAAGAGAGTCACGCAAGGTCACGCTTTATCATTTATCTGGAACAGCGGGGTATGTAATTTTTGGCATACAGGTATTGGTTTTATGTGGTTGAGAAATATGTAGAGATAGGTAAGCTGTTCGTTTAAATAGATTTCAAAATCGATAAGAAAAATATCAAAATATGAAATGAATAGAAATCAAAGTGTAATTATTCTCGTGATTAAAAAAATATAAAACTGTATCGTATAATAAAATAGAAAGTGACGAAGCGAAGAAAGAAAAACCAATATATAAAAATGCGTATCATTATTAATATTTTTGAGTGATTTGCACTGACTAGAAAAATATCAAAATGCACATGTGTAGTCTGAGCTGTGGCAGACGATTATTTTATTTGACAGTTAATTTATATGTTTTCGACCGTATAAGCACAAATGTCGATACAGTTTAAGAAAAAAGGAGATTGAAGCTCATTAATTTTGTATTATGATCAGAAGTGATTATCGATATCAGTCTCGTGGGCATAGACATCGTTACACATAAAAGTCCGTATATGCATAAAGTTATAACTCTTAATGATATTCTCTCGAGTTAGATAGATAAGGAAATGTACTCACTGGTAACCATAGTAAATAAATCGACGAAATTTCAAAAAAATATAAAGAAAATTTAAAATGTTGTGTAGTACGATTTGAAAGAAAACAACGAGTAGCACAGTCATTTACTTTACTATTATGGATTTTGGTTATGCGCACGATATTGATACGAATCTACTTGACGCGAAGCAGAATTCATCATTTTGTTAAATAGTGTTTCGGTTTTTTCAGTCATTCTAGAAACTGCTAGTATTCATCACATTCTCGTTTGCCATCAACTTTGCCAAGTTCGAGAATTATCCTATGTTGACAAAATGCAAATTGTTTCTAATGCATCAGCCGATGACCCATGTTAGGATAATAATTCTATCGCTGAATTCGTAGTGTTGTCATCAAATTGTTCTTTATAAGAATGAAACTTCGTTTCTACCGCCAATATTCAACGTTTTGTTAGAACTGACTCCCGGCAAAGGATATCAGTAATTGCTTTTCCACAATTGAATACTTGATTTTGGAAGCGTGTTATAATTTAACGAATGTTGCCTTTGATTGTTGACAACACGACTGGCAGGCCATTTTTGATACTTCTATTTATTTGAGAAAATGTATGTTTTCAAAATCAATCGGTGCATTTAATAAACGCGATAATATATCATTGACATTTATTTAGTTTTATATTCATTTATGAATCTGCTCGAGAGAATGTGGTAGTTTATTTTCCTTGATCTTACTTTCTTGAGTTCGACAATGCCGTGGCCTTCAATGTGTTTTAGTAGCAGTGTGATACTATTCTTCTGGTCAAAGATTCAATGACAAAAGATATACTTGATAAAAATTTTAATCGACTTGATGATGTGTCTATCGATGATGCATGGATGTGTTATCTGGTTTTGACGTTTTTCCATGGTTTTCTTCGAGTACAATTTACTTCGAGTATTCGCTAGAGAACCTAGTTTGATGGCTACAACTTCGATTAATTACACTTTTTCTAATTATATTCAAACTCAATTAGTTTATGCATGCGACATGATTAAACTGGGGAGATATTCTTCTTGTAATGTCGACATTTATTATCATCTGCTATCCGGTGAGTTGTTTTGGTTATTCGATCAGAACTATACACAACTAGGACAAGTTTTGAAGCCAATGCTATATGAAGACAAAGGTGGTACCAATCAATATCCAACATGTTTTGTTCAGCACGAAACTGATGCGATCGCTTGTAGGAAAAGAGTTTGCTTCAGTCGTCAAATTCTAAACGAAACTAGCAATACTCTGTTTAACTGTGGAATACCGGCATCACATTCAATTGATCGAGATAAAGACAACGTGAGGGTGATATTCAATATTCGAACGCAATTGTGCTTATATGACATGCAATACTCTGAAATATTCTATACATGCAACATAGAGAAATGCAATGGGCAAGATACTCTTGATCAAATATCAACTACGACATACGTAATTTACAAGCACCTTTTTATTTAAACCATACTAAATTTTCATCTACCTACTGTCAAACTTCATCCGGAGTGTCAACTAGTTTAACGACATAAAGCACAACGAGGTAGATATTGAGGAAACGATCAGATAGATCATTTGAAATTGTTTTTGTTTCACAATTACTGTTCGCTTCTCTTAGTACTACAAAATCACGTACAACAACACGAACGAGCACTACTCGCTCACAATCAGCGATTGCAATTGAAAAACGTCAAATCACTACGTTCGACAAGATTACGACATCGGTGAGCAGCACTATACAACAATCAAGTGTTGTGATGTCTAGCGCAATACCGTCGACAATGCCTATGACGACAATTCAGCCAGCGAAAAACACGGCTATTCGTCTTCGAGAACATCTCATTTTAATTTTCCTCACTTCTTTGCTTCTATGAAAGTTTAGCGCTAGAGCAGATATATTTAATCATCTGATAGTCACATGGATTGTTTGTCTCTCTGATCATGGCCAATAAGCGAAAAACAGTATCCAATAAAAATAACGCGTCGAAATAGTCGTCACGTGTATTATGCATATTCGATTTCTTTTCACTAAACAGAGGTGTGTGCATCCAAACGGACGTATACAATTAAGTAAGTTGGGCACAATTTCGTATTTTATACACAGTCGAACGCCGAATATTTCATAAACAGGTGACGTGTTGCTGCTTACTTCCTTTTTGAAAGAACACAATGTCGAGCGATGAAGAAACAAATCCTCGCTGTAGAATGGATGAAAATGATATTCGTGCACTAAGCGAGTCTCAAGTAACACTTCGAAAGGAAGTTGACGAACTCAAAGTGCTCTGTAAGGTGCTTCAAAGCGAGATTCATTCACTCAGAGATCAGTGTGCAGCATTACGCAGCGAAAATCAACAATTCCGAGAAAAGTTTCAGCAAGTTGAAAGTCGAGGTAAATGAGTTTTAGTTTCCTTTTTATTTGTACTATATTTGGTTCAATTTAGTCCCGTTACAGAGTATGCTGAGAATATCCAATATAAATGTTGATACAGAATGGGTAGCAAACGGTATTGTTGTAGCTGGAGCAAGCGGACCCGGTAGCGCAATAAATCAATTGTGGGAACCGTACAGTGTATGCATTGATGATGACGACCAAACTATTTATATTTCTGATTGTAATAACCATCGCGTTATTGCATGGAATTTGAACACACAGATTGGCCACGTAGTTGCTGGCGGAAATGGAAAAGGCATTGGAGCTAATCAACTAAATTCTCCAAGAAATGCCATTCTCGATAAGAAAACTGACAGTCTCATAATCTGCGATTATGGGAACAGACGAATCGTACAGTGGCCTCGTCAAAATGGTAAATATGGGCAAACAATTAAGTCAAACATAGAGTGCTATGGAGGCTTCGCCATAGATGACGATGGATATCTCTATGCCTCTGATTTTGTAAAGAATAAAGTTATACGTTGGAAAGAAGGAGAAAGTGAAGAGACAATCGTAGCCGGAGGGAATAGAGACGGCAATGCCTTGAATCAGTTGCATAGTCCTACTTTTATATTCGTCGATCAGAATCGTTCGATTTACGTCTCTGATAAAGATAATGACCGTGTTGTCATGTGGCCAGAAGGTGCAAAAGAAGGCATTATTGTCGCTGGCGGTCATGGTAAAGGAAATGATGCAATCCGTTTGAAATATCCATATGGAATAGTCGTCGATCGACTTGGTACTGTTTACGCGGCAGATTCGTGGAATAATCGAATAATGCGTTGGAAGAAAGGAGCTCAAGAGGGCAGCGTGATGATCAGTGCAAATGGCAGGGAAGACCAACTAAATCCACTTGATTACCCCATTCACTTAGCGTTCGACCGAGATGGTTCTGTCTACGTTGTTAATCAGAAAAATCATCGAATACTGAAATTTTTAATCGATTCTTCCCGTTCATCTTCATAAACATCAATATCAATATCTACTCTGAGAAACAGTTATTCAGCAACTTATTCATGCGTTAGTTTTCCTAGTTTTTTTTTCTTCTTCTTTTTCAATGTATCAAATATTCTATATATGCCTATCCATTGTCAAACAAAGTATTTTAGACGCAACTATATCTCTCCGATTGCCAACGCGGTAAAAGCTTTGTTTGGCGTATGTCACTGTTAATCATGATCATTCGAATTAGACACACGAACTGAAAAAGTATAATTTTCTATCATAGTAACTTCATAATAAATTGTAATACTTTCAATTAAATCAAGAATTAGAAAAGTGTCACTTATCAGCAAACTTGTGACTGAGTTTTCGCAAACGATGTGCTCATAACTGACCTGTAATTAGCAACTGTTGCTTTTAACTACTAACACGAAGTCTTGACAAATGTTCAAGAAATATTACCTGTTCCAATCCGTTCTTTCACCGTACTTCAACCACCAAAATGCATAGGAATGTATTTATTGGAACAAGTGTTAAAAAAAAGCATTTCCTTTTTCTTCCGATATTTTTCTATCTTAGTTGTATCTACGTACATGAGGAAGGAAAACGAGAGACGCGAGATCCGGTTGGCTGATGTTGTAAGTGTGCTGCATTACAGAAGATTTCACTCTAGTCATTATGACTTGGCAAGATTAATACGGATTAGTTTTTCATTGATAAGCAAATATATTTTCTCGAAGCATGTTTGTCTTTGACATCGATATTGATGATGCAGCAATTTTTGAAGCATCATCGTACTTTCTAGTGCATTTTATTCTGATGAAATGTTCTTAGATGCTAATGTATCTATGGAAATTTTGCCTAGGATCTTTCTGACTGGAAATGTTATTAGCAGTTGAAAAGTTTTATATAAATCTTAGGTCGTTTTTTGACTATTTCATGAGAAATCGTGCCTAATGGTCATACCTGCTTGTAATCCATTGATTCCATCAATCATAGTGACTATATTCAATCTTTATCATCTATTGAAAGATTAAGCACTGCGCACGGGTCTCAATAATCATTTTATTATCTGCCTATTACTTTGTATACTTATCGAAGAATTGAACGACCTCACCTGGAATATTTATTTCAATTGTACACAGATGACAATGATAGCCACACCTGTGTTTTGTATCATTTGGATATTCACTAGTTCAGTGCTCATTGTCTCAATTTATCTGTTGATGACCTGGGAAGCAGTGGAACGATAGATTTTCATATTTCATTCGGCTCAGTTTGCAACAAAAATGAAACATTTTTATTTTCATTATTTGCCTTTGATCATATGTTTTCTCTGGCCTCTTCTTTACTACACAGTTCTATTCCTTATCACATCTTGTACCGATCAATTCGATTATCGTATCCGACTCTGTAATCGTTATTCGTGTGTTCTATCAGCGATATCGTATTCGTTAACAAATCGATTGGATAAATTACAAAAAACTAGTAGGACAATTATTACCAATCTCGTTTGTTTATAGTGTAATAGGCCTTCCACCAATGAGTTTATACGCAGCTTATGCCATTGACCTATCACGAAGTATAGCAATAGGCTATTATAGCGATAGTATTGTTTACTTCGTTTGCAACAGTTATGTCACTACCAGATTTGCAGGTCAAATGCAAAAATGCGATTCTGCTTTGACGGAGACGATGTCTTGTGTTTCCTGAAATAATGACAATTACTCGGTTACGACATCAACGTCGGACTGCATTATCAGCAATGCGTTCTTGAGGGTGAACAATTCTACGATTGCAATCGATAGAGCGCACCGTATTTTACCTGGAATCTATGTTGGGACCACGCTAAGTAGTACGGAAACGAATCAGTCTAGAATTTGTCAGAATTATCATGTTTTTCACAGTTCTGTTTTGGTTTTTGAAGGGAAACCTAGGCGATTTTTGGAAATTTTGTCATTAGAATCGATGGAGCACATCGAGTTCTACTGAAAATCAGTGAGATCATAGTTGGAACGCACGTCTGAACGAATAAATCCTGAAAAAAACTCGAATCGGGTGCTAAGATAACTTACATCTCGTTTTCAAATCAGTTTTGTAAAACTAATATGTATTGACTGTTTTCTTATGTATTATATATAAAGATCTACTAGGAAACTTGTCATTCCATTGAATAATACAGAAATATACCTTATAAAGCCACTGAAACAGAACCTCCTACAATTATAGTCCATCCAATTCTGTTCATCTTATCAAGCCTTTCTTTAGCCTGTTTTGTGTCATTCGAATGATGAAACGATTATGGAGCGTACCCGTCCAAATCAATGTCCAAAATCGTGAATGCACCGCTCTTGGTACAGCAAGACGAATTGGAAATTCTGTAATAATCAGATAGCTTGTATTTTGTACACTGCAAATAAATGATGAGTTTTGCTATGGTATAACTTTTAATTAGTATGAACGTGTTCAATAAGGTATAAGTCGAAGTGAAAAACGAAAAGTTAAACAGGTAGATTAAATACTACGTAATCTGTTCAAATAGCTATTGCTCGAACATTAATTCGACAATCAAAAATTCTCTTCTTTGATGAAGGTATAAAAATGATTTTAAATAGAAAACAATTGTAAATATGAATCATTTCATTATATAATAACTAGTGCGTTGAATAGTGAAAGTGAAAAAAATTCTACAAGAAGTATTAAATAGAGCTCAATAAAATCAACGAACATTAATCACAATTGCACATCGTTTATAAATAATACAAAATGATGATGTTTTATGTGTATTACATAAAGGAAATAGTGCGTTGAAAACGGTACATATTAAAGAATTACTCGCAATAAACGGACGTTATCAACGATTAGGTTATTAGAAATGAAAATAAATCTATGTAATAATAATAGAATAATCATCCGTTGAAATAGAATCAAAACCACCACCCTTAAAAATAGGGAACATCTTTGCTAGTGGACCATTTTTAATCCGTATTATTGTTAATATTTGTGTAGTTTGAAAATTTTTACTATTAAAATACAATTGTTCAGGTATCCATTTAAAACAAGTTTTACATTGTGTAACTTTCCATCGAATTCGAACCGTATCATTTCCATTAATTCGATGTGGAGGAGCAGTAAGAGAAATATGAATATCTGAACTTCGATTAGAATCTATTGTAACTGCTTCGGGATTATATATAATTCCAAGATTTGCATCTTGGCATACAACAGACCAATTTTTTGGTATTAAATCAAAATATTTCTCATCTGGTTTTCCTATTGATATTATTTTATAATTTGTTATTTCTTGAATAACTTGCATTCCATAACGAACAACTACAGTAGATCGAAGTGGAATTTCTGTATTCTTTTTAAAATAAATTTCTTCACATGGTAAAATTTCTTTATCTTCCAGCATACATGTTTCATTTGAATACCAGTAATCTTCATCTATAGACGAAGCATTCTTCGAATGTATCATTCCAGAATTGAAGTTTATATAATTTTTTATTTCAAATGAACTTTCATTAACCCACCAATGCACTGGAAAATCATTAAAATTTTGTTCACCATATTTCCAATATGTTCCATATTGACAACCAAGTGATGGAGGAGTTTGTAATAATAATTGAACGTAATATTTTGATTGTGGTGAATCGGGAACTGCATATGGAAAATGTTGCATTACAAAAGATGTATGCTGTTCTGTTGAAGTATAATTAAGTGTTTGATAAGCTCGTTGATTTATTTCATCAATTGCTACTATTAAACCACCATCTGATGAAAAAACAACTTGACGTGGAAAATAAGGTTGTGTACAATCTCCGAAATAAGACCACAGAGTCAATAATATTAAACACGAATGCATTTTTTGAGTTTCGAACTAATTTAAAACGTATCACTTTGTATATGAAAGAAACTGAATCGTCATGAAAGAATAAGATGATATTTTTATCTTTACAGTGTCATATTATTATTTCACTGTTGCACTTTTCTTTTGTCGAATAAAATTACGTCTTTATCTTTCTTTAGCCAAATTTTGAACGACCTATTTTTGTCGATATTAAAAGTATTGTCAGATCGATTTGGATACAAATTACCATACACGAGATTCAGATCAGTTCTAATAAAATATTTCTAGGGCTACATACCTATTTTTAGCAAAATGAATGTGACTTTACTACACGAGAAAAATGAATAAATTGCTTTTGCTTCAACGGGGATAGGGGTATCCACTGTGCTCGTAATACAAGGAGAACCATAACACATTTCTTTTGTGAAAAATGAGCAAAATTCAAGTAATACTAGAAACTTCTACAGAAAACTACTTGTTTCCATTTATTCTATTGAATTATGGAATTTTCCAACGAATTCAGTGCGTGATTGTTTGAGAGCACTACAATAAGATATATCATGTTCCATATGTGTATGTTTATACGTTCTTTGTTTCTCTTTTTTCTTTCTTGCCCTAAGTAAATTCGTTGTACATTTATAAAGTCATTATTTTATTCTGTCACTAAGAACTATCTAGATTGCTATATCATCTTTTTCTTTACTTTTTTCCATTTGTATACAGATGAAGAAGAACGAAGGTGATGTAGTTTGTTATTCTTTTCGCTTAGAATAGCTAATGATAAATGTCATTTACGTAGTACTTCTTTCTACCGATATCGTTTTATCTATTTTTTTTGTGCTTTTGCGGACAAAAACAAAAGTGGTCTATATATGAACCACTGGCTAAGAAACGGTCAAATGATTCGTTAGTGTCCTATTTTTGCTAATATATCTATATACAACATGTCCTGATGGATATACTCTTAATCTGAATCATTACCAAAGGAAATGTTTTTCATTGTCTATATTATTACTGTTTACAATGTGAATATCAAAATCAACAAGTTTATNTTGACAACCAAGTGATGGAGGAGTTTGTAATAATAATTGAACGTAATATTTTGATTGTGGTGAATCGGGAACTGCATATGGAAAATGTTGCATTACAAAAGATGTATGCTGTTCTGTTGAACTATAATTAAGTGTTTGATAAGCTCGTTGATTTATTTCATCAATTGCTACTATTAAACCATCATCTGATGAAAAAACAACTTGACGTGGAAAATAAGGTTGTGTGCAATCTCCGAAATAAGACCACAGAGTCAATAATATGAAATACGAATATACTTTTGTCATTTTTTGAGTTCCTAACTAATTTAAAACGTATCACTTTGTATATAAATGTGTATGAAAGAATAAGATGATACTTTTATCTTTACATTGTCATATTATTATTTTACTGTTGCATTTTTATTTTATCGAACAAAACTACGTCTTTTTCTTTCTTGCCCTAAGTAAATTCGTTGTACATTTTATAAATTCATTATTTTATTTTGTCACTAAGAATTATCTAGATTGCTATATTATCTTTTTCTTCACTTTTTTTCATTTTTATACAGATGAAGAAGAACAAAGGTGATGTAGTTTGTTATTCTTTTCGCTTAGAATAGCTAATGATAAATGTCATTTACGTAGTACTTTTTTTCTACCGACATCGTTTTATCTATTTTTTTGTGCTTTTGCGGACAAAAACAAAAGTGGTCTATATATGAACCACTGGCTAAGAAACGGTCAAATGATTCGTTAGTGTCCTATTTTTGCTAATATATCTATATACAACATGTCCTGATGGATATACTCTTAATCTGAATCATTACCAAAGGAAATGTTTTTCATTGTCTATATTATTACTGTTTACAATGTGAATATCAAAATCAACAAGTTTATCTATTAAATTTCAAGCATTTTTCGATTCACGACAAACACTGAATAGCATAGCATTCCCATTTCGTGTAGTAAAAATACGATCTCCATTACCAACTATGAACCATGTAGCAGAAACAAGTAAAGCTCATCCTTTGGATTCGCTGACCCTTTTCTGAAAGACTTTTCCTAATGCTCAACACATTCAGAGACTTGGAAAGAGAAAAAATACACAGCGATTGCTACTAGTGCTCAACTGAATCATGGCACGATGTCACACACTAGAATGCATAGGGTGCAAAAGTCTTTTTAGGAATCAGACCGATTAGCCATTTGTCAGTGGATAATTCTCCAGTACTAACTATGTTGACTGAAAAATTCATCGCCCAACGGCTAGTCAGACGGCCACTCACGGCCAACCATTGACCTTTGTCATCTGTTTTTCTATTTTCACATCACGCGCATGGAAGCTTTTATAAAGGCTTTACTAAGTCACTCATAGACGGACGATATACAGCAGACTACTTGAAAAGTGTGAACATTCGCCTGTGTCTTCCAGCGATAATCCGATTCTTTTCTCTCCTCTCAACAAAATGATACCTTGTCGAATATTTCCATTGAGCAATATCCATTCGTCAAATCCCTTTCAAAATTATCGGAAGCCTGGCAAGGTTATTCTAAGCGTACACTTTAGGATTAATCTAGCATTTAAACGCCTAGTCATTCGTCGACCTCCCTCCGGTCGGTCACTCACGGATAGCCGTTGACGCACATGATCAGTGTTCATAGTTTTTCCATATAAAGAAGTAGCTCGTTGATACTGTGTCGATCTCTGATCGAAGTTATCAAAACCCTTCGTAACTGTGTAGTTTACAGTACATATTCTATTGCTCTGTTCAATTTGAAGCGCTGATAGTGTACAATCCCTATTCTCGAAGCTCGAAAACGCATCAATTATGTTCGTTCAAAAACCATTGACTTTCGTTGAGACAGTAATAAATCTCACCCTTCGGCCAACCCTTATAAGAAGGAATTTTTTTTGCAAAAAAAGTGAACCGTTGTCGCAAAAACAGGACAGATAGTTTTTACGGAAAAACTAATACCGGATTCGTGATCCTCGACCTTGATTACCTCAGGCGAATCATTTCCGTATGGTGATCTCTAAGGTTTCATTGGTCTATAAAAAGCTGCAACCTGATTGGATTGGACAAACTCACACCCTTTTAGCTTTTGAGCAACCGAGTTTTGAACGCTATAACCCTTTCTTTCAGAAAAGAGAACAATACAATTAAGTAGTTTTGAATGATTTACTTTTAATGACGTATTCCTAGTGATGACCTTTCTAATATATTAAGCAAACTTTGACATTATTAAACGTTTATTTCTACAGCGCTCTCATCAAGAGGATGTGAATGTGACATGGAAGAACCTGCTTGATTTTTTAACTTTTATGTACTTAAAACTACTTGAGAGGTAATTTAAGTCATTTGATTGATACTTAGACAATACTTTTGAGGTCTTTCCTAAGTATTTTGATGATACGNGCTAGCCGCGAGTGGCCGACCGGAGTGAGGCCGACGAGCGACTAGTCGTCGATTTGCAGAATAATATTTTTAAGAACAAACTTTGTGATTTTTATAGAGTTTTAAGATTTCTTGGTCAGAAATTAATCGTTACTTTGCACGAACATAGGTGACAGCTATTTAAGGTTCCTCTTAGTGGAGAGAAGATTGAAACCTTTTCGAGAGAATCATATACCTATGTAAAGCTTCTAAGTTTTTGATTGTGAATTGATTTTCCGAAATGTGCTCATTTGCAGAACGCGTCTTCGTCCGAATGAAGTTAAGATAGTAAAATGAGTACGCATGGGAGCAGCTAGCCGTGAGTGGCCGACCGAAGGGAGGCCGACAAACGACTAGGCGTTGTAATTACAGAAGACTTCAGGAAGCGAAATTGGTCTAGATAAAACATTCTGACAAATTATCAAATGATCAAATCGTTCAACTGAAATAACTTTTTTTTCTCTTCGGACGAATAGTAGCGCTCTAATACTATCCTTTCAGTAGAGGGTTTAGCGGCTACTAGGCCGCGTTACTTGTTATGTAAAGTTTCAATATCTCGGATGAGAAACCGATCAATTATGAGCGAGTCAACTGTTCGGTGTGAAAATGGGAAACTAATCGTATATGTGCCAACGGCTAGCCGTGAGTGGCCGACCGGAGGGAGACCGACGAACGACTTGGCGTTTAATTTCCAGATTAAGCTTAAAGTGTACACTTGGAATAGCCTTATCAGGCTTCAACAATTTTTGAAAAGGATTTGGCAAATGTATATTCCTCAATGAAAATATTGGAGAATGCATCATTTTGCTGAAAGCAGAGAAAAGAGTCGATTTTCTGCTAAAAAAGACAGGCTAGTGTGTAAAATTTTCATGCGAGTAATGTGAAAATAGAACAACAGATGAAAAGGTGAATGGCTGGCCGTGAGTGGCCGGCCGGAGGTTGACGAGCGACTAGCCATTGAGGGCTGGGGTTTTCAATCAACAGAGTTAGTTCTCGAGAATTATTCACTGACAAATGGCTAATCGGTTCGGTTCCTGAAAAAGAGCAATCTCTGTCTTCTATTCACTCTAGTGTGTGACATAGTGCCATGGTTCAGTTGAGGACTAGTAGCAATCGCAGTGCCTAAATTGCCTTTCAAAGTATTTGAATGTGGTCAGCACTGGGACAATTCTTTCAGAAAAGGGTGAGCGAATCCATAGGATGAGCGCTACTTGTTTGTAATAGAAAATACTCATGTTAAATAAAATAATGATAAATCATAGCTTCACTTCGATAGATTATGATGAATCGTTTTTCGTGCATTCAAATCTCAGCTAAATACCTTTTACATCGAATAATAAATTGTAAATATTGATAAAAGAAAAGCACGTTTATAAATATTATGAATGAATAGAAAAGGTATAGTCATTTTCTTTTCTGTTCTCGAAATCTAAACACATACATCATTTGAAAACAAGAACAAGTTTGGTTTTTTCCAACTTATTTTTCTTCTAATGAATACGTTTGAATTATTACCAAATGCAATTTTAATCGAATGTTTTACCTATCTTAATGCATTGGATATATTCCATTCTTTTAATTATTTAAATAATCGTTTAACAAAATTAATTTCAAATATTCGATTATATTTAAATTTTGAACATGTCCGAAAAAGAATTTTTTTTAATAGATTTTGCGAAGAAATTCTGTTAAATCCTCGACTAAAGTCAGATATTTATTCATTAAAATTATCCAACAAAAATACATGTTGTCAAATTGAAATATTTCTTAATCTTTTTTCTCTTAATGAGTTTACAAATCTTCGTTCAATAGAATTAATTAATCCAGAAGAAAATTCAATCAAATTAATTCTACCAATTCTACCTCAATTATATCATTTGTATTTAAATACATTTGACGAAATTTTATCATTGTCTTGTCCATTACTACAATTACAAACTCTATCAATACGGAAATTATTAAGCGATTTCAAATCTGTGAATAAAATATCATCAATTACAAAATTAATCATTAATTCCACTTATTGTGATCAATTAATTTGTTTATTCAATTTTATACCTTCATGTTACCGGACAAATTGATTCATATGGTTCAATAGAAAATATTTCATATGTAACTTTTGCAAATTCTCTTGCAATTCATTTAAACGAATTAATTTTCGATGATTTCCAATATAATTTAATTGTTTTTGAAGATTTTGTAAAACATACACCAAATTTAAGAAGATTGAAACTTTCTGCATAAATTCATAAAAGTTTAATCGATGCAAATGCATGGAAATATACAATTCAAAATTGTTTACCGTATTTAAAAGATTTTCAATTTAAATTTCAGATTTATCATGAAGGACAAGAAGAAACATTGAACGAAATAATTGAAATGTTTAAAGAATTTCAAAATGATTTTTGGCAAGAAGAACATCATTGGTATACTTTATATGTATTAGATATTAATTCTGGAATGATTTTTACAATACCTTATCCTTTTAACGATTATAAATTAATTTGGTATACCAATAATTTTACAAATCAATCGAGAAATTATGATGATTTACATAAAAATGTAACAAACTTACAACTATATGATAATTTATCAATAAAGAAATATCCATTTTATTTTTCAAATATAAAAGATTTATCTATAATAGATCAACCTTGGCTTCCGAATGAACGCTTATTTCCTAATGATACGATTGATTATCTTATAGGAAAAGTTAATTTATCAAAATTAAAACATTTTGATTTATCAACTTATCAAATAAAACCAACAATTTTATTACAAATAGTAAAGAAATCTCCCCAATTATCAAAAATGACAGCTGATACAAATCTAATTCGATCATTTTTTTCAAATAATGAACTATGTGAAAATATATAAGCCAAATGATAAAAACATTAATATTAATAAACAATCAAGGTTATGATCGTATGGAACAATTTTTTCAAACATTTTCAAGTTTAGAAGAACTTTTTTGTGGTTTTGCTCGTATGTCTTCAGAAGATTCTTGGGATTTTTGGATATCGTTAATCAATCATATTGAACAATTTTCAATAATAAATATATGTAATTTATCAACTAGATCAATTTATAATGAAAAATTTTATTCTCAATTACAAGATAAAGCTTCAAAACACAATTTTATCTATCGACTTGTACCTCCCGATATTGATAAAACTATTGATATTTGTACACAATTAAAAATTTGGATTGATTAATGCAAATTTCGTTATATGTATCTTTTGATTTAATAGTTATTCATGTCTTAAATAAATATCTATCTAATTGTAACGAAGATACTAAATTTTCTCTTAATAGTGTAATTTATTTATCGATATTGTATTTATATTATTGAAAAATCATTTTCTCATTCTCTTTCTCGTAGAGGAGAGTCTTAGAAATATAAATTGTTTTAAACAAATTCCCATTCAATATTAACGCGACCAACTTCCAGACTACCAGCAATCTGAACAAAAGCAGCTGGAGATAAATCAAGATCACCGTATCCACCTGATGGAAGTCGATCGACGATTCTCACAGTTACTGTACCACTTGGACCTGTAACACTTACTTTTCGACCGCACAATGCGTTATTATTCGGATTTCCGTGAGGTGTATGTGTATCAAATTGTTGTGAATTAAGAGCACAAACAAAGTCTTGGTCAGAATGTGTTGTGCCGCAAGCCGTAACACCACTTAAATGATAATAAGTTGCTTGTCCGTGAAACATTTTTCCCGATATAATTGGCTTTGTTCTAAAAGCACAAGCTTTTATTATATATATACACTATGAATAGTAGGAATTAACCAACTTGAATAATAACAGTGTTATTTTCCATACTCGATAGTTATAGATGATTCATCTGAGAGGAAAAATCCACAAAAACAAATTGAGGGTGTGGGTGGAATGAAAATTTTTTATGATTGGAATTGGAACCGATAGAGCTCATCAAGTTGTACTTGGAACCAGTATTGGTTTGATTGGAACCTACGCTGAAACGAATCCGCTCAAGAAAATGTCGAATCCTGTCCGAAGGTATCCTACGTGGAAAAGATTCTATCACGATATCATCAATTGACGATTCTACATAACAGAACAGAACACAATACAGTATTCTTCGACATATTTTCTCAAGAGTTGTGAATAGATTAATCAATTTTACGACATTTCATTTGAAAGTTGATTTATTCAAAATCTAACATCTTGTATTTTATGCATAAAATACATTTGAAATTACCAAGAATTTTGTTAGCAATAATTTTAGCAGTAATATTAAGTGCTTCTATAGCTGATGCTTATTCAACTTCAGAAGATGAATATATTTGGCTCCTTATATGCACTGAAGATATGAAGTTATCACAATTAACAGTCAGTTTCAACACCGATAAGACGACAGGTGTAGTCTAACAATAAAACCAGTGAATAAATGTGCTGCCATACGTATTCCACATCGAAAATTTTACAAATTCGAACGCACAGTCGGTGAGCATGGATATCAACTTATTTGCACACACAAAAACTTTTGTTTTCTGATATTGAAATTCAGGCAAATCATACGTCAAAAATATGAATCAAACAATTTGAGGGTGAGGGATTAGTTAAAGGACCTTAAGAGAACAGTAGGTTTTATATATCACATACAAAGTTACTCTAGGTTAAAATTTATTTTTCATGGACCCTCTGTAGTTGAAATCTCAACAGAACTGAAACTCGATTTAATTCGTCGGAAGAAATTCACCGGCCGCTTTTCGTCAACGTGAGAAAGTAATGTAAAACGTAAAAACAAAAACATGTACATACATAAATTTTTCGGGTGAAGTATGTCTCTTTGAAAAAATCATATCTGCTATTTTTTACTTTCAGTACACAGTCTTCGTCGGAGAATTCGAGTTTGAGAGTGAAAGTGCTCTTTAAACAACGCTTTCATCTAACTTCTGAGGATTATTTTCATAATGATATTGGTAAGAGCAGCAAATAAACTACTATAGTGCAATAGTTGTTTGGCGGTTTGTCTAGCCGAACATCGGGATTAACTTTTCTGCTCCTCATCGAATGAATCAGAATCGTACATTTGTACAATTTCTTACGTGTCAGCGAAGCATTTATTGAAATCAATCTTTCTCAAGCTTTACTCACTTCACAGTAGTAAAATACATTTCCGTGCTTGATCATTTTTGATCTAATCAATATTCACAAAAGTGTATATCTTCAGTGAATTGAATGAGATGAAATAGTCAAATAAGTCTCGAATAACATTGAGTTTGATAGAGATTCGTTAATGAACCAACAATTAGTCCATCGGACTTCCATTGATTATTTTCGTCCAGATAGTAACAGCCAGATGAATACATTCGCATTTGATAGTTTGATGTGAAATGAAATGGTTCGTTCGTGATCGGAAGTGATTTTGTTGATGCGTTCGACGAACATGTTCGATTGACTTCTGTCGAATTCAATTCTCTCAAGCCAAATATAATCGATTGATGGTTAAGAGTACGTTGATTATCAAGAAAATATGTATAGATACTCTCATTTATTAAATTTGATGAACAGAAAACTGTCCATCCATCGATTTCCTTCATTGACGTATTCAACTGTGGAACTCCATCAAATTTATAAATAAACAAATAAGAAACATTTGGACTCAATGGTTGAATTTGCCAATGGATTGATGTAGGGAAGTTTGAGGTAATATTCAGATAATGATAGTGATAAATGAGATGGTGGGGTGTGGAGTTCATTGATGTGACATTTTGCAAGATCATTGATGGAATGAGCAGATTTGGATCGCGAGGAATGTTGATTTCAATGGATTTGTTGGTCATCGTTCGGATGGAAAGTTCATTTTGATTTTGATCGACAAAGGAAAATGAGATCAAACGAGAAAGATTCGTACTAGATGACAACGATGAGTTACCAAATGGTGCTAATGGTTCCATGATTGACTGTAAAAAGAACTGTACTTATTTTGAAGGCGATCACTTGACACAACTTACTCGAATGGAGAGTTTTTGATCGAGAATATCGAGAAAGGAACTGAAATTGTCAGGAAGTTGAACTTGACCATTCCCGATTTGTAAAACAAATCCATTTGTTAACGATTGGAGTGTTGTGATTTCTAAAGTCATGAACACCTGTGACGAATCTATGAGAAAACGTTGTCCAATATTTAAATGCGTGTTTAACGATGAAGTTATCAATGAAATCAGTTCATTCACTTGTTGGACAATCTGATTAAATGATTGTTTTTGATAATAAACGTTTCGGTTCTTCTGTATTGTTTCCCATGAAAAATCATCGCCATCGGCAAACAAATCTAAATGATTTTTATTGTTCCAATAGAATAAAATCGAATTTTCATACTTGGATTGGACCAATCTGAATCGAGATCGGTGTCATAATCTTGAGGAAATGTATTAGCACGAGATGAATCTAAATCTAAATTCATCGTCCGTTCTTGCAGTGGTCCATTTACAGCCTAGATATATTTATCAGATGGAGGCGGACAAGTTAGAAACGATTATCTTACACTTAGTAGATTTGCAGCACATTGAACGAGATCAGTTGATACTGATTGAATATCTTCAAATGAAATTTGCGTTCTCATTAAATATAAAGCCGATGCTAAATGATAACATCGATCTGCTGCGATTGACTACATGAGAATAGAGCTTAAGAAAGAAGGAAAAGATGAAGGGATAGAGAACTCACTAAAGTTGATCTCGTTAACTCATTGGTGGCTTTGGTTAACTGAGATAAGGATGATGATTGTATTTTGACACTATTTGATGTTGTTATAGGTAGTTTAGTTATAAATGTGATGAGATAGTCTCTAGCAGTTGCACGAGAATTTAGTTGTGTTTGATATTCTGTTAGTACTGATTGATTCAATACAAGATTGTGCATATTCACCGAGGAGAAAGAGATACTGCTAGTGGATAATCCATCTATCGAAAGAATTTGTTGAACGCTCTCATCGTTCAGTTGTTGAGAGATTGAAGTTAAGATTTGTACAACGATATTTTGATTTCTGCTTGCCAGTAATTGAACTATTTGATTGTTTGAGAGTTCTGACGATGAATTTTGAATCGCGCTTATGAAATCATTGATTGCTGCTGTATCTCGTCGAACAATAACAGATGAAACATTCACTTCAGTGACACAATCTAAGTGGTCACGAATTTGAACGGACAACTGAAGTAAGGATGTTTGATTATCTCCCATAGGCAGTCGAACTTCATATGTTGAAATAGATGAATAAGCAATGGCCATTCTCTCTGTTGGATTATTTGTCCACGCTATCGAGCAAAAAAAAACAAAATGGCACTGTTTGTAAAAATGAAAGAAAGTACCGTAGAGAGTGTAGTCTTTGATTCCATTTTGGTCAAACCAATTTTGACAGGAAATAGTAAACCAGTCACTGATTGTTCCGTTGAAAGGATGAATCCTACATGAGCCATTTGATGGTGACTGATTGAGAAGAAAATTTAATGAACTTGAACTTGTTGTCATGAGAAACGTGTAAACAACTTCGAATTTCCAAAGATCAATTTGCGGATTGGATAGAAATAATTGATTTGTAACAGTGAAGTTAGTCGTATTCATACCTATAAACAAGCATAAGCTATTTGGATAAATCGATCAAGTCTTTTTATTATACCGAAAAACCAAAGATTTGTTTGATTGAATAAAGTCCATTGAGTGACATTTGCTGATGAGTTCATTTGCCCGTAATACACATTCCATGTGATATTCAGATTTACTGTACAGTTTCCATCACAAATGGAAAATAGAGCGACTTGCGTTGTTGGATTTAAAAGTTGAAATTCATCACTATTTGACACACACATTGTTTCAATGACGCAACTAAAAACCACAGTTAATCTTTTGTGCGAAGGAACGGAAAAGAATTTACCCGATGAGAACCAGCGGTGATGAAAGCTGTTCGACTTTGATAAGTAGTGAACCTGTGCTTTGAAGAGAAGAATTCTGTCGATTTGTTATTCGCACCATAAATTGATAAGTTCGATTGGATTGTAAAGAATTAGAAAGAATTGTCAGTGACGATTGAATTGCATTATAAAACTGAAAACCTGTACGATTGGATAAACAAGACGGATTGTACGGATCAATCCTTAGATCATCGACTGTCAATAAGGAGTTATTCAGATTTGGGTATTCGTATAAACCATAAATTCGACAGTAATATCTATATTCCCAATTCTAGAAAATTTCAATACAAGATTCTGTAGTTTTATGATGTAACTCACAAATAAGTTGAAAATCTTTTCGTCTGGATCAATCGAATACTGTCCAGGATCGAATTGAATGTCTTGATTGTATCCTTGTGTAATCATTGACGTACCATAGGAGATCAGATTTACTGTAATATCCGATGGAACAACTTCGATATAAACAGTCGATGACGACGACGAAGAAGTATTCATTAATGTTACGGTTAAAATCAACTGGTACACACCGTATGGAAGAGTTTGTTTTGGAATGTAGATTTCAGAAAATGTTGTACCAATGCTTGAATTCAGTTGTATCTGATAAATGCATGTAATAATGCATTTTCTGATTGTCCATTGAGTGGTCAATGACAATGAATTATTACAGGTGGAAGTAATTATTGATACGATAGAGATATCTTCACTTCGACGGAATTGAATAGGTGAAGACGCCGCTGATGAAGTTGGAATAAGAACTATCATTGGGAGTGAACACGGTAAAATACTCGTATGATTCCTGATCGATGTCATTTGCTCTAGAGAATGCTTATCTAATCATTGAGAATTAGTTTTTAATTAGCAAACCTGGGGAAGTTGGTTCAGTTGTTGGATTCGCTGTCGATATCGTATTATCTAAATTGAAATAATTCGTTCTTCTATCGTCGTACCTTGAGCTGTTCTATTCTTACCACACGACACGACAAGTTTTTGAATGCGCCTATTGTTAGTATCTACGATGTACATGTTTCCGTAACTATCGAAACTCATGCCTTGTGGACTAGATAGTTGATTCGATGCCGAGCCTGATGAGCCAAAACACCCTATCAAACAGTGGAAACCATCCGCTCTCTCACCAACAATACGATGATTGTTGGTATCTGCGATATACATGTAACTATCAGAATCAAGAATGATGGCTGTGGGAAACTGAAGTGTGGTGGTGGGGTTTGAAGATCCATTTCCTGCAAC